CAAAATGACGTAGCAAAGTGTCTCAAGGCTTGCTATACCAATTCTTCATGGCTATGGCATCTACGATTCGGGCACCTCAACTTCGATGGTCTAGAACGTTTGTCGAAGAAAGAGATGGTGAGAGGCTTGCCTAGGATCAACCACCCAGACCAACTCTGAAGGATGTCTAATTGGGAAGCAATTCTGAAAAATTTTTCCAAAGGAATCAACGTCAAGAGCGACAAAGCCACTAGAGCTCATACACACGGATGTCTGTGGACCAGTCAAACCCAACTCGTTTGATAAGAATAAATACTTTCTCCTCTTTATTGATGATTATTCCAGAAAAATATGGGTTTATTTCTTGAAGGAGAAGTCAAAAGTATTTGACAACTTTAAAAAGTTCAAAGCCCTTGTGGAGAAAGAAAGTGGTCTTTCCATCAAGGCCATGAGATCTGACCGAGGAGGAGAGTTAACTTCAAATGAGTTCAACAAATATTGTGAAGACCATGGAATCTGTCGCCCACTGACTGTGCCAAGATTGCCTCAACAAAATGGAATAGCATAGAGAAAGAATCGGACTATACTTAACATGGTACGAAGCATGCTCAAGAGCAAGAAGATGCCGAAGGAGTTTTGGGCCGAAGCAGTGGCATGTGCAGTTTACTTGATAAATTATTCCCCAACAAGAAGCGTGCATGAAAAGACACCCCAGGAAGCATGAGGTGGAAGGAAACCTGGGATCTCTCACCTCAAAGTATTTGGAAGCATTGCCTATACCCATATTCTAGATGAAAGAAGAACAAAGCTCGATGATAAAAGTGAGAAGTATGTGTTTGTGGGTTATGACTCAAGCTCTAAAAGGTACAAGCTTTATAACCCAAATAGTGGAAAGATCATCATAAGTCGTGATGTGGAGTTTGACGAAAAAGATTATTGGGATTGGATTGCTCAAGAAGACAAGTATGATTTTCTTCCTTACTTTGAAGAAGAAGAAGAAGAAGAAGAAATGGAACAACCAATGATAGAGGAACATATTACACCACCTTCCTCACCGACACCAAGGTTGGATCAGACAAGTTCAAGTGAGAAGACACTATGACTAAGGAGCATTGAAGAGATTTATGAGGTAACCGAAAAACAAAACGACATTAACCTCTTTTGTCCTTTTGGTGATTGTGAGCCTCTAAGATATCAAGAAGCAGTAGAAAACATAAAGTAGAGAGACGCCATGGACGAAGAAATCAAGTCTATCAGGAAGAATGATACATGGGAACTTACTACACTTCCACAAGGACATAAAGCAATTGGAGTAAGATGGGTGTACAAGGAAAAGAAGAATGCAAAAGGAGATGTGGAGAGATACAAAGCAAGATTGGTGGTGAAAGACTATAGTCAAAGACAAGGAATTGACTATGATGAGGTATTTGCTCCTGTTGCTCGTCTTGAAACTATTAGACTGATCATTTCCTTGGCAGCCCAAAATGAATGGAAGATATATCAAATGGATGTGAAATCAGCCTTCTTGAATGGTTTTCTCGAAGAAGAAGTTTATATCGAGCAACCACTAGGCTATGAAGTAAAAGGGCAAGAAGAAAAAGTCTTGAAGTTGAAGAAGGAATTGTACGGTCTCAAGCAAGCACCGAGAGCTTGGAATGTTCGAATCGACAAGTACTTTCAAGACAAGAACTTCATCAAGTGCCCATATGAGCATGCACTCTATATCAAAGCATAAAGTGGAGATATTTTAATTGTGTGCTTGTATGTAGATGACTTGATTTTCACAGGGAACAATCCAAGCATGTTCGAAGAGTTCAAGAAAGACATGTCAAATGAATTTGAGATGACAGATATGGGGTTCATGACATATTATCTTGGCATCAAAGTAAAGCAAGAAGACAAAGGAATTTTCATCACCCAAGAAGGCTATACCAAAGAAGTCATTAAGAAGTTCAAGATGAATGATGCCAATCCAGTTGGCACCCCGATGGAATGTGGTAGTAAGTTAAGCAAGCATGAAAACAAGGAGAATATGGATCCAACTCTTTACAAAAGTTTGGTTGGAAGTCTACGTTACTTAACAAGCACAAGGCCAGATATTCTCTATGCTGTAGGAGTTGTAAGTCGATACATGGAAGCTCCAACAATAACTCACTTCAAGGCGGCAAAGAGAATCCTTAGATATATTAAAGGTACAACTAATTTTGGCTTGCACTATTACTCTTCTAATAATTATGAGATTGTTGGCTATAGTGATAGCGATTGGAGTGGAGACTTGGATGATAGGAAGAGCACTATTGGTTATGTGTTCTTTATAGGAGATACTACTTTCACTTGGATGTCAAAGAAGCAATCAATAGTCACACTATCAACTTGTGAAGTCGAGTATGTTGCTGCCACATCATGCGTTTGTCATGCAATTTGGCTAAGAAACTTGTTGAAAGAGTTAAAAATGCCACAAGAAGATCCAATGGAAATATGTGTTGATAATAAATCAGCAATTGCTTTGGCAAAGAATTCAATATTTCATGAAAGAAGTAAGCACATCGACACCCGTTACCACTTCATAAGAGAATGCATTGAGAAAAAAGAGGTGAAGTTGAAGTATGTAATGTCTCAAGATCAAATTGCCGACATTTTCACCAAGCCACTAAAATTGGAAACTTTCGTGAAGCTAATGAGTATGCTTGGAGTCACAAATCAAGTTTAAGTGGGGATGTTGAAAATATTAAACTTGATTTGGGCCTAAATTTATTAATTGGTTTTTGGGCTTAGTTATTTTGGGCTTAAGTAGTTTTCTAGAGAATTCTTGTAATATATGGAATCTCTAGATATTTCTTATAATTGTAATATTTTCTAGAATGGTTTTTGGATCTCTAGAGTTGAGAACTCTCTAGAATTAATGTGTCTAGAGTTCTCCTTAGAGTACTATAAATAGAGATGTAATCCCACACATTTGTATCAAGCAAAAATACAAAGTTCTTCTCCTTCATAAAGAATTATCCTACTTATCAAATTTATATTCAAACCTTCAATATTCCCACACACTTCTCCTTAACATAAAAGGTCTTATTTCCAACCGAAAACATATGAAGTTTTTACTGATATGCGAAAAATAAGAGGTAGCAAAAGTTTGTTATGCACTCATTTATGGAAGTCAACATGTAGAAAAATGAATATCCACTCATTAGAAAGATAAGAAGCAGATCCACGACTAACTATTTTCACATTGCCAAAATCATGTCTTCCAGAAACGCGAAACAGTAGCGCCTCCACCGCGAAACCCCTTTAGATTGTCACCTTCACTGTTGCTGGAAAATGTTGCGCCATCCTCGCCGCCGTGAAAGCTCATATTTGACCATCAGAGTTTCAGATCTGGATCGCCACCGTCATTCTATCTGAATCGTGTCGACGCCGTCTTCTCCTCTCCAAATCCGCCGCCGTTGATAGCTGTTTGTTTTAGTTTATATTAAATGAGAGTGGAGAAGATAAATTGTTAATGAGTAATGAGAGAGTGAGTGAGTGAGTTAAATTTTTAGAAATATAAAGTGTTAAAATTTGAATTTGTTTTCTGGAAAGGGATAATGTTAGGTAAGATTGTAATAGGTGTAAGACTATAATAGTGATATAAGTTACCAATTATATGCAATGTAACAAAAATGATAATGTTGGGTAATGAAAAAAAGGAAAAAAGTAATTTGTTGGATAATCAATTGTCTAAAATGGGAAGAGACATTGGATAGGTGAACAGACTACACCTCATTTTTGTTCAATGCAAATGAATGGTACATGCGGTTATCATTTGGTTAGATTAGACACATTTTGCTCTTAAAAAGATAAGGTGGCATTAAAAGAGCAAATGTTATATTGGTTTTATGGAGAACATCTTTTATTTTATACAGTAATTTAAGCTGACATGTATGTGAAAAAAAGGTGTTGAAAATGAATCTCTAAATTTTTAAAGATAAATAGATGGGTTGTGATTTTTCACTTTAGTGGTGAAGCACATAAATAGGGGAGGGGTGTAATCGGTTCAGTTTAAATTAATTTTTGGTAAAAAAAAATGTTTGAACTGATGATATTTCTATCGATTTGGTTTGACTCGGTTTTAACAATTTTTATAAATAGAACCGAACTAGATCAACCAATTTGATTCGGTTGATCGGTTTACTATATTTTTTTCAAACATTATATTCATTAGTGTATTCTCCACTATCGTGTTGTTCAGTGTATTTTATGCTATTATTTTTTAAAATAATTTATTTCATATAATTTATTTCATGCTCTATTTTTTCAAAAAAATTACAAGTTGCTCTTGATACATATAAAACAGTGAAATGATTTCCATTGCATCATAAAATAAATTTACTATTAAATATAAAAGTTAATACTTGACATAAGATTGTTGGAAAGAGATTTGTAAGCTTAACAAATAGAACACAATAAAACACATATTAATTAACATGTTTCACACCTCAAACAATCATCAAAACTATTTTATAACAAATTTAAAAGGGATTTTGTTGAAGAAGAAGAAATAAAAAAGAAAATTAAAAAGAGAACTTGAACACGAAAATGTGACCATAACATATAAAATTGACGGTAATGAGAGCAACAACGATGGCGCGGAGCAAGAGCAACGGATGAGTGAAAGTAAGTTTTCTGTGACTTATAGTTTTTACTTTTTATATTTTGGAGTTTAGTTGTAGACGTATTTTTTTAATGAAATGAAGAAAGTGTATACAAATATAGAGAATGATTGGACCGATAAAACATATAAGTTTAATGATAAATGAAATAAAATATTTATTATATTTTGTGATCCGCTTACAGCCGCCATGTGAATTAGAAATTCCCAAGTCCAACCCAATGGGCCCATAATAATCTAGTCCAGTTGAGTTAGAGGCAGGTGGAGCAGTGAAAGAGGAGGAAGACGAGCGAGACGACTTTCATGGTGGCCGTACTCTCAACTAACATCCATCAACAACTGTCCTCCCTCTAAGACCAAAGATGCTCCGAATATGGATACGTGGAAGAACATCAGAGACAGAGAATCCGGAAAATCGCGTCCACAATCCTTCGCTAACCGCATAAAATCCAATCGCATTTCACATCTCCAGTTATCAAATCACAAAGAACTCATTTCCCCTCACAAAGGCGCAATCAATTCCCTTCAGGTTCTCCTTCACTACACCACTCTCATTTCTCACATTCTTTATCTTTTTTTCCCAACAATTTCTTAATCTGCCTGTTGATAATAATTCAGATTGATTTGACAGAGGGAAGATATCTCTTATCTTCTGCATCTGATGCATCGGTAGCGGTTTTCGACGTGCAACGGCCGAGTGAATGCAACGGTTTGATCTCGAAACATAGTTGTTTATTTGTTGTTGATAAACAACATGAACTAGCTCATAAGTATGCGGTTTCTTCAGCTATATGGTATCCCATTGATACTGGATTGTTCGTTACTGGTTCATATGATCATTATGTTAATGTTTGGGACACTAACACCACTCAGGTTCACTTTAACCTAATTCTAATCATAATTTCATTATTATTTTATGGTTATACATTAGCCAATCAAATTTAACTCCTTCACTGTGTTGTGTTGTATTGTAGGTTGTGGTGAATTTTAAAATGCCTGGTAAGGTGTATAAGACTGCGATGTCTACATTGTCGACATCTCATATGCTTATTGCAGTTGGAACTGAGGATGTACAAGTTCGGCTTTGTGATATTGCTTCGGGGGCATTTGCTCATACTTTGTCTGGTCATCGAGGTGTGTCGGTGTTCTCGTTTCAACTTCCAACTAACTGTTTCCTGTATTATTATTTATGCTGTGTGTTTCTTACAACAAGTGTTAGCTTATATTTTCAGTCAAGTTATTTCACAGTTAATCTTATAAGAGTAAATATCCTGTCTAAGATGGTGCAGATGAGGATAAATATTTTTAATTTATTTATGTATAATTTGACCCCTTCATAAAATGTGTCAAATTCTGCCACTGGAAGATAACTATATTGAATTCTAACATTATTGGGAACTGTGGTGTCTGTGTGTGATTGTTCTTATTGCATGATGTGATAAATATTATTAAAAGAAGGTTTTTGCCTCGCATGATTTCTATGATGTCAGATGGTGTAATGACTGTTGAATGGTCTGCTTCAAGTGAATGGGTCTTGATTACTGGGGGGTGTGATGGCGCCATACGTTTTTGGGACATAAGGCGTGCTGGTTGTTTCCAAGTTTTAAATCAATCTCGTACACAGCTTGGAAGACGTCCACCAATACTCAAACGTTCTTCCATAACTAAGGTTTCTTTTTTTAACTTTAGCTTATTCCTTGTTTATAATTTGCGAGATTTAATAGATGATTATTGCAAGTCATGATTATTTTGTTTGTGTATCTGAGATTTCACCAAGTACTTAATTTCAATGCAAGTATTTATGCTTGTTATAATCCCAAAGCTTTATTACTCACAGGAATCAAGTACAAAAGTGCGTGCTGCACAGAAGAAATTTGTCAATGGCAGTGGCAGTGGACAACTGCCAATTGGCAGGCTATCATCTAGGGGACCCATGAAGCAGAAATTACATCCAGGAATGATTTCTACTCAGGATCGTGCAACTGCTCACTATGGTGCTGTGACAGGATTGAAAGTAACAGAGGATGGCATGTATCTCTTAAGTGCAGGTTTTTATTTATTATTTATACCGTATTATTCAATAGAACCATGCTAAGAACAGGGTCTTATGCAAGGCTAAGGAAATTTAAAGATCATTTTCTTTTGAAATATGCGAACATAATAAAAGAAAAATGAGCTATATATTCATCTTTCAAACCTCTTATTTTCTTTGAGAGAAGCTGTCTGTCGTGCGCGTATAAAACACCAAGTGTCGTTCGTTGTAAGTAATTTTTTACTTGAAAATGTACATGTGTAGTTTAACTTTAGAAGATACATACAACTTAAGAAGAAGGTGCAAAATAATATAATATTCATTGAGAAATTGTTGCCTGAAAAAGATAGACACCGGTGCATCTTTGTTGGCCTATTTATATAAGCTCTTGGAGCCAGTGCTCTACAATACATGAATCGTAAGTACTCAATTATCCTGTTTTTTCATTGTTAGTTGTTAACAATCACCGTTAGACCATTATGAAACATACACACCTTTCTTATACTGAACATACGCATGACAGATTGCTTTAAAATATTTTCACAAGGAAATACTTTATCTACCTTCTGTCAGTCTGCAATGCAGCCACATTTGCTACAGGTAATCAAAGGGATGCATTTGGGCTTATCTTGTATTTAATGGTTCACGATGATTTCCCACTGGTGTATAATGAATATTCTAACACCAATAAATTCTCAGAACAAATCACAAGACATAAACATGGTCTTGGACAGATTCCTTTTCCTCAGTATAACTAGTTTGTACACTGAAAGTTGAAAACTCTTCTCTGAAAGTCATAAGCAGAAGTTGTTTATGCACTAAAAACATTAACCTGGAAACCCCATAGACATTAGTACAGCAGCAATTTTGCACTCCATAGAACTGGCTAAGGAACATAGTTACCTTAAATAAAGATATATATTCCTATATAAATAACATTCAACCTGTATTTAATAAAAGCTTGGGCATTGTGTATGGAAAAATATATTATCAACCGTTGATTTATGAGGAAAGGATGGGTTGAAGAGAGAAATCCGCCAAATAAACATTATAGTAGAAGACAAATCATTGGTAATGTCCGTCGGTAACTGTAAAATAATATTTTCGACTGTTTCAACAGAGAGAAGATAAGTACCTGTAATCATAGTAAATGTTTTGCTGCATAAGTCTCCTTTGGAATGTTTATGACCAAAAACAACATTTAGTAGTCACACAAGAGGTAGCAAAATTTAACTGGTATAAATAACAGAAATCGTAAGAGCAGTTTGGATGAAATATTTCTAATTAAAATTAGATGATACTATCAAATAATGTAGCTAGAATTATAATTTTATATCTTAATGCTAAATAAAAATTAATTTTAAAGTGATTCTAATTTTAAGCAACTGAATGATAATGCTAATTTGAAAGAGATAATATACAGTAAAATATGTTGGAGTTAAAAGTGTCTATGCAATGCTAATTTGAATCAGTTGTTACCCGATTTCTTATATCTACATTGATGTGCTGTTTGATCACAGGGTCTGATTCAAGATTGAGGTTGTGGGATATTGAGTCAGGTTGCGACACTCTTGTGAACTTTGAAACAGTCCGCTTGCAAACAAGCAAACCTATTCAATTCGCTACAACTCAAGACTCGGCCGTTGTTTTTGTTCCATGCATGAGAGTTGTGAAAGTATGCTGTTCATTTATCTTATTGCCTATTTCAACTTTAAAAATAGACGTACAAATACAACTAGGAATACTTTTTTTGAAGCATCAAAAGAGGCAATCAATTATAAAGAAGTGATCATGGGTACATGTTGAGAATATAACAAGTGTGAGTGTGTGGCTTCCACTTGAGGGGGAGTGTTGAGAATATAACAAGTGTGAGTGTGGGGAAATAGTTCCACGTGTTACTAGGAGCATTGATACAAAGTTGAGGATTATGCATACTTGTGAGAGACACACCACTTATCCACCTAAAACCTTAAGGTGATAGGTGAGTGGGTTCTCCCATTTATAAATGCTCAAGTCACCACACTCACACTTGTTATATTCTCAACACTCCCCCTCAAGTGGAAGCCACTTGTTATATTCTCAATACAGAAGAAATTAAATCCACCCCACAACTGCTAATAAACTAATTTCTAAGAATACAATGAGGAATCCTGATTTCACTTTTGCATTATATAGGCATTTGATATGTGGTCTGGGAACGCACACACGATACTACGTGGACACTATGAATCTGTAAACGCCTGCTGGTTTAATCTGCATGATCAGGTATGTTCAACAGTTGGTTGTTCATTTTTTTATCCTAATCAATATAATAAGTTGTCCATCTAAGCGGTGAAATTTGTTTGGTTGTTTGGTCCAGCATGTTCATTTTACAGTTAAAAGTATTTTGCTATGGTTATGAATTAGATGAGTGGAAACAGAACTCAGAAGACATATGCCTTTTTTCGGTTGAAGTTAAATGAGTTTATTATCATGTCTCCGCACACATGCACATACTTCTAGTCTTCTATCATCAGCTCATACAACCTATGGATGGCCTTACTTTTTTTTTTTTTCGTTTCCATTTTATCCTCCTGTTTAATTTCATTGTTTAATCCAAAAGAAAATGAAAAGGGACCCAGACACAAGGTTGTTGTAAATTGTGTGTAATTGTCGGTCCTTTTTCTTCTTTGGTTGTACTAGTATCATCACAAGGAAAAGAGATTTGAATGAGGATTTTCTAAATTAGACAAAAGCTGGAAAAGTGGAAATTTATGACTTAAATCAACTTGAACCGACCACCACAAGACAACAACAACCGCAACTGATTTTATTAAGATTTCTGGAAATCAGGCCCATTAATTTGTTTTTATTTAGGATTATTTGGTTCTTGGAATAAGATATATTTGGTAGCTATGTTACAATATCTCCATCTTAATTAATTTCTGTTTGTGATTCTATTTTAATAGAAATAGTGTTTTTTCCTTTTCTAGTTTCCAGGTTGTTTCTGTTTGTGATTCTATTTTAATAGAAGTAGTATTTTTTCCTTTTCTAGTTTCCAGGGTTGAGGGTAGCCGTGATTCTATATCCTTTATTTAATTCCTTGTACTTCTTATACCACATCTCTGTTCTCTGGCATTCTACAGAAATCATTCATTATTTTCCAAAGTATGCGATATAGCATCTCTATTCTGTGGCATTCTACATAAATCATTCATGGTTAATGCTCGTTCTTCCAAAGTCATTGCTTGTCTTGCTAGTCGATTCTTTTGGCAAAAGCTGAATCAACCATAAAAAGAAAATATTTAAATTTATTGTAACTCAATTTTAACAAGCATAAAACTGCAAGACCCTAGTATGGATCACAATTTACTCTGACACAAATATGCTATAGATTGTATTGGATTGAACAATTGGTTGGTATGTAATACATGCTTGCAGAGTTCAGACTCGTGTACTTTTTAACGGTTTTTGTTATTGTCACAGGAGTTGTACACAGGTGGAAACGATAGACAAATTCTTGTATGGTCACCTGCTAGGTTAATTGCGGATGAAATGGTACAATCATTGAATCAGTTTTTATTTTTTATATATGAATGGGGAGAGCACCTTTCAACCTGACATTGTCTGACTATGTGATAAACTGCAGGGCGAAGGAGATCCCGACGATCAGGATAACTGGAGTAACTGAGTCTTGCCTCCATTCGTGTCACATATTTCCCCTGTTTATAATTGGTTTGCAGTTTGTAACTTGCATGTTTGTGGGATTTGTAAATAAAGGTTTGCTCTGGTTTTGGAGCATATGTGAAATGCTGAGAATGAGAAGGACAAGCCTCCAACATTGTATAATAGTAGTCTACTACTTTTTTAGATAGATTTCCCATTTCTTTTTTGTCTTGTAAACTATGCCAGTGTAAATATCAACACATTTATATATTGTTAGTTTGAATTTGGATGAATTTTTAAACTTATAATGTATACTCATTATTAGACATTTATATATTGTTCCTATGAATTAACAAGTGCTGCACAATGAGGTAGACTCTTGGTTTTTCTTGCACTTTTAATTATAATTGCCCTTCATCTTTTTGTTATAGGACTATCAACATGATCAATTGATCATAAAATTTAATACACTAATTTAAACAATGAAGGAATCATAGAAGTCAACACACTAATTCAACAATGGAGTGATAATAACAACATAACATAAATAATTATCTATTTGAAAATTGGTAACAAGCAAAGTATAATTGGGAAGTATATATATGATTCAGAGCTATGGTTGCACTCAGGAAGTTATGATTGCAACTGGCAAACAATATGTTCCTCTAAGTTCAAGAACTTGAAACTCCCTAGAATAAACAAATAAAAAAATACAATAAAGGAAAAATATTAACAGAGATTTCTAACTAGAAATATGTATATAGCATAACAAACTTTTTTTAAGGAGAATAATGAGAAACGGCTCTTAACTTTTAAATTTAAACAAATAACCATAAATCCTATTTTTTTGTGAGTTTAGTGTTAACTTCTTTCAAAATTACAGCAATTCCTTCTTTTTTTATTTGACTAGATTAGGAAAAAAATTTAACGAAACTTATTTTTCATTTTGAAAAGCTAGTAAGTGTAGGTTTTTGCTCACTGTGACCTCTATAATTTCATTTTGTTTCACTAAAATGGCATCAAGAAATCTAATTCAAGTGAATAACTTCAATATTAATGATACATAACTATATATCCTTTATACTATGATTGAGATATTATTTGTGAAGTGGTGTTGATAATGATATATGTAGATAAAATTCTATTTGGGATTAAAGTAATTTAAAACTAATATGAAATGGTGATAATCAAAACATGAATGATTATCTTATAAAAATTGAAAACAAACTAAATGTAATTATATCATTCAGAATACCTTCAAAACAAAATATATCCTCAAAAACTCGCTCAAAATAAATTATACTATAAAAAATAACATAATATAACTATCATCACATAATTTAGCGTCGTATTCGTCTATTAAGTGATTTAAGACACATAATAGTATTCTGAAACTCTAAAAAAGTATGATTAATAAATTGACACTTGTCATTACCTGACATTATATCAAATCCAAATGATTTTGTCCAGGTGTTTATAGTACTTTTAGAGGAATGCAAAACCAAGCTCCTTATTTCTAAGCAGGTCAACCACTTCTCAAGCTCATCCATCAACAACGAACACATTCCTTGTCTTCGATGTTGTTTTTTGGTAGCCACAAAAACTATCTCCGCAACCTTTGGACCATAAATTCTTATAGTTGCCACAGAAATCACTTGACCCATTTTCTCTAAAATCACATTATAGAAACCACTAAAGTTAGACCGATTATGTTCTGAGTATCTACTAAAAACAACATCTTCAATCATTTCTCTTTTTGTTATAGCATCAACAATCGGGTCGAAACTCTCCTGCAATACACCAAGAATCTCATTCAACTTACTCTCATTTTGACCATTACTCACATTCTTAAACAATGTCCAAGTTAGATTATTTGCAATCTTGATTGGCTTACCTAACATATTCTTTAGACATGAGAATATTTTCCCACAATCCACACTACAAAACCAATTCTTCTTTTCACCATTGTTCTCCATGTCACCGAATCCTATAGCCTTTAAGCATCCATAGTGAAATTTTTGCTCACATTGAACACAAATAATAATAATGTTATCATCCCTTTGATCCACACATTCTTCTTGTTTGCATTTAGGTTGATAACATATTTTGCAACAACAAGTTGGACAAAACCAATCACCATCCGGAACTCGACCAAGACCTAAACAACCAAGATGAAACGAAGAAGGACATTGATCACATAGTATTATGTCACCTCCTAAACCACAAACTAAACAAAAAGTATCATTATATCTTTCTAATTTTTCTTCGCCAATAAAACGATTCTCCTTTTCACAACGTGAACTCAAAGCTTCTCTTTGACATTCCAACAACGATCTCCCGTCTTCTAAGCAAATACTAGTCGATGGTCTATGCCTTGTACAACAAGCATGAGCCTCAAATGCAGTCATATTGAAATTATCATGACAACAATCACAAATTATACCATCACAAAATATTTTCCCTTTTTTGACGATATCATTACCACCACGGCATATCACATTAGTCCCTGAATCCAAAACTTGATTCTCTATCAACCAATAAACAAGTGTGCACCTTTTCCTTACACTCATATTCAATACCTTCCCTCTTTTGCTACAACCTTCCGAAACATTCTCCATTCTACTAGTAACTTCTGATTCACCTTGATTCGCATATTCCTCATCCTCCTTTGAAGTTGAAGTTATAGTATCATTATCTTCATAATCATCGCTCGAACTTGATTGATCGTATTCTTTATAATATATCAATCGCTTTCTTGTCTTCGAAGAAACTATTGTAGGTGGTGCTTGTAGAGAAGTTGAAGGGTCTTGAACGAAACAACTTCCATCTTTAATACAACTTTCACATGCATTCTTAAGAGTGGTATAATGTTTTCCATTCCTAGGCGAAGTATAACGCATTTCCCATTTACACTTTTTATCGATATACCAAAGTGTCCACCCTAAAAAAACAAGATGTTGTTTTGCTTTCAAACTCAAATCCTTTCTACGAGCACCTTTTTTATTATCTTTTAATCTTGTTATACGGTACCATTCAATCACAGCTTCTGGACAATATTCGGCTTCAATATTAATATCAGGAGCTTCTGATCGTGAAGCCATATGAAAAACTACAATTCTATATCAATCTGCATGACACAATTTTTCATTCTTAGTAAAAATTAAAAAAAAAAACTATTACCTTTTAAAAGGAAACAATAACGATAAACTCTATTTTTTATAAACTTTTTATGTTGTTATCGTTTGTTTACTTTTTAAGAATTAATAAAATATATTCATAAAATCAAGAAAGATATTTGATTTGTTTAGATTATATATGGATGGATTTGATACTATAGTGTTAATTAATATTTAATGTGCAACTCTTATTCGTTTTTTAAAAAGAATATAATTTATAGTAATTGACAGTAAAAAAATTTAATGGTTCATAACGGTGTGTTTTTTATTAGATATTTATTAGGTGTGTTTAGATTGAATAGTTTTATATTAAAAATTAACTATTAGGGTTTAGAATAAAGATGAAAGAAATTGTAAAACTTATTTTCACATGTTTTGATATAGTTCATTGTTTAAATTTTCACAATTCCGAAAGAAAAAAAAACCTCAATGACACCAATATCATTATATCACAAATACAAGATACTCAAATCAGGGACAAACAATTCCAATAAAAAAAGATTGAAATTAAAACAATAGTTGAAGATGATGATGCTAACCTTTGAATGTTGAAGAGAAGAGAAAAAACAGCAAGTATTGCAGAATGATGAAAACCGAAAGCAACAAAAAACTTTTAAACTGAGAGAGCATGCGGTTTGAAATAAGGTTTGTTTTGAGTTTTTATAGGTTACAATACATAGTGGACAAAACCTAGGCCCAATATTCATTTAATTTTTATTTTTTTGCAAGATTTGATTTGCTCATTAAAAGTCACACGATATATGTTATTTAACACGATTTGATTTGATTTGATTTTTATAATTTATTTTGAATTATATAACAAAATATTGATATTTTGTATTATATAAATTTAAATATGTAAATGGCCTTATAAATAGGAGTTTATTTTGACTTTAGTTCTGATAAAAAATTTCAATTTGACTCTACAATTTTAAAATACTTTTAAATTAGTCATTTATTAAGTTTTATGATTTAAAAATACTAAAGAACTTGAATGATGTGGCAATATCGGTCAAAGATATATAAATGATTATAATTTTAAATTTTATGTGTTTGATTTTTTAAAGTTACATATTAAAGTGAAAGAAAGTAAAATAAATAAATTTAAAAGAAAGATAAATATATAGAAAATAAATTTATTAAAAAATAAAACATCATCGATTTTTAATGTAAAAATATAAAAAAAGAATTATTAATATTATTTGAATTTAAAATATGAGAACTATTTACATGATTGAGGCAAAACAAGAAGACTACAACTGTAATTAAGTTAACATTATTATTATTTATTATTATTATTATTATTATTATTATTATTATTATTATTATTATTATTATTATTATGAAATGAAATGTTTTATTTATTAATTTAAAGTTTGTTGTTTATTGTTAGAAATATTTTTTTATTAATAATTTCTTATTGACGGTAATGTAATTTTTTTTTATTATATCTATTTTTTTATTTAAATTTATATGCTTTTGATCGTACCTGATCAGAATTGGACCGTCACAGCTGATTTCGAACTGAATTTGAAGAAGATGGGGTACTTGCAAGACACTCTGATGACAAAGTGAGAGACGGAATGAGCAGACAAACAAGTATATTGGTGTGTCTGAAATGAATACATGACCCTCTTGAAATAGAGGGTATTTATAACCCCCAGCGCTGGACCAAAGTCCCTTTATTGGATCGACCAAACATGCCCAACAAAGGGACTGTCAGGTTCTACGTAAGTAGTGGGTACCTGCACGTGGTCCCCTACCTGAATGATGCTCTCCGCAGAATAAGGAAGGTAACGACGCGATCTTCCCGGGACCCTGAGGACTCCGAGACATCCGGAGAGGTTGAAAGTCTGTCCTACGAGGAGGGTACTCGAGCAGGGCTTGGATTGGGATGTTCCTCGTCGGGGACGCTCTTCGCGGACACCGGCGAGCGCAGTCGTGTTCGTCCAATCACTCATGATTGGGGTGTGCCCGGAGGATCTGATGCTCAGCATGGTATGTTGTAAAGCTTGGATTGGGCCTCACTGGTGATTGGGCCACAGACAGACCCAGTTCATAACAACTTTTATCTAAACATAATTTTTTATTTTTTATTTTTTTTAATGATTTTCTTTCACTTCATTTCAGCTATATTTATAAAATCATTCAAATAAAATATAAATATAAAAAATACAACATCTCCCGTAATGATTTGTTTTGTAAAGTTTTTTTTTCTCTAAACTCTCTGATAATTTTTTTTTAAAACCCTCGTAATTTTTTAGATTTTCTAATATATTTTTTTTAATTATTTTTTTAATCTATATAGATTACTTTTTATTTTTATTTTTTTATATATTATATATTTTTTTGTTTTTCTTTATTAATAGTTTTTTTTAACGTTTTTTTATATTATTTTTATTAATATTTATTATGAATTGTTTTTTTAAATTTTTTTTATGGTTATGGGCCGAAGCCCATTTTTATTTGAAGAGCAGCCCATATATTTAACCTCTTTTTAATTCATTAGTTCAAATGCATCACTTGATTTATAAATACTAATGTTTATTTATTAAAAATCGACCTGGGACTTCTTATAAACGAGAATTTAATATGTCATTCCTAAAATTTTACATGACATTCTCTAAATTTTTTTATTCCCAATACTTGTAATGTCTACAATTTATCTTTTGTCTTTATAAAATATTATGAATAGCTAAAGCCCCCAATGTTAGGGGGTGTCTCTGATTTGAATATGTGATGACTTTGATTTTCTTATTGCAATGACAATTTATTTTTCACAATCAATTTATTCTCTTGATGTTCTTATTGCATTCTCTTTCGAACAAATTGAAATTGATGTATGATTATCAATTAGGTTGGACCCTCATTGATAATGCTTTCTTGAGAACATTCTATAATAGATATCACATAGGACTAGGGATACCCTTAGGAACCATATTATTCTTGATTTAATAATTCTTAATTTCATCGGTAAGTTTCTTTTGACTTAGGGCTTAGGATGAATGATTAAAGGGTTTTCTCACTAAAGACTTAGGATTAAACACCCTTAAAAAACGGTAATTGATTATGCAAAATAAGTTATTGCAATATTAATTAAGAGTTGTTACAGGAATAAATCACACACTTTCCCTAGCATGTTACTCATATTTGTCGAAACAGTTCACTGCATCCATTTACTTTGTTTGCAATTATTTTATTTTAGCAAATCAAACTCAAACACTATTTTTTTGTTTAATTGAGCATCAATTCGAACTCCATTTTTACACGTAGTCCTTGAGATCGAAATTTGGTGAACTTTCCTTATTATTACTACAGAGGTAAAATAATGCACTTGCTATTTTTTCGACCAGTCAGCGTCATATACATGTCTGATAATCTAGTTCAATATTAACACACAAAACACTTCGAAATGGATATACACTTTGTGCAATAAAAATTTCCTCGGGATCAGGTGCGCGTGTTACATGTTCCTTCTCATTGTTAAATTGTCTATATCTTGAAGGGCCTTCCGCTACAACTTTTTGACACCTTTATGGATAGTCTCAACATTAATCCATCTCATCTTTCTATTATTGAGATGTATTAGACTATGTAAACATAGAAAGATTATTACTGGATTTTATTGTAAATAATTACTTAACGTGGATAGAATTATTAGGGATAGAGTTGTTGAAGATTATTAGAAATAAATTCATATATATATATATATATATATATATATATATATATATATATATATATATATATATATGATACCTATATCCATGAGAAGACACGATCAATATTCAGCCCTCAAAGAAAATAAAAAATAAAGTCAATATTGACAGTTTATTTGTGTATAATATAGTGCTAAAGATACGGGTGGCAAAACGGACCGGATCCGCTGGGTCAGTCTGTTTGATCCACCATTTTTGGTGAGCTGGACTGAGTTTTTGGATAAGTATCTTTAGTTGACCCGCCCCCTAACCCGCTTTAAAAAACGGACTTAGGCGGGACATGGCGGGTCTTGCCCGCGGGCTTTTTGTTACAACTTTTTACTTTTTACTTAAAATTAAGACAATTTTAATTATAAAAACAACATTATTCTCTTTGGATTATAATGATTGAATTATATTTTAAATTATTATACAGACAAATTGAATTATAATTGTAAGGTTGTTTATATAACTTTCTAAGACATGTATTGGTTGGAAAAACTTGAAATACAAGAACAATTGTATGGCATGAAGAATTATTAAGTTGTGAATACATTAGCTCATGTGTTTTCTTTAGAAACAAATGTTAATTTTAAGAATAAAAAGAATTCGATTAGAGTATACGTGTGACAAATTTCAGATATAACTATTAAAGAATTAGTCAATATAATAGTCTATATAACGTAAACAATGAAAAAGTTAGGTGCTAATATTTTATACACTACTATTTTATGCACTGTGATGTTTTATGTACTGTAATGTTATCATTGTTTGTCTTGTGAAAATTATTAATTAGATTATTTTAGTAATTAGTTTTTAAATAGAATTATGATGATATGTGTTGTTTATTTATTTATTTTGATACATTTTTTTATGGTGCTAGAGTTTATTTCGGTATGTTTTTCTTGAAATTGATTTTTATTTATTTTATTTTTTTAAGTGTTTAGACTTAAGACATGTTGAAGTTATATTATGCGTTGTTAAAAAAATATCTTTTGTCGACTTCTTTAGTAATGTTTAAAAAATTTGTATATTATGTAATAAATTAAATTGTAAAATAAAAAAAATTAAAAATATTAGCGGAGTTAGTAAACGGGGCAGACTTGACTTTTGAGCTCGGATGCCTAAGTTTACCCGCCCCACTATTTTACGAGCCTAAACGGGTGGACCGTCCACTTTGTCACCCCTAACTAAAGATAATGAATTATATCGAAAATCATAAATCACAGTCTACCAAAGACGGTATACAAAATGAAAATTGATCAAAATAAAAAGATATAATAAATTGATTTAACTATAGTCCGAATACTTTAAGGTCAGAAATCAATTGAAAATAAATAAATTATTATGAAAAATACAAAATAAGAACGGTGAAATTGTGAGATACAAAATTTGATTTGTTGCTAACAAAATTTCAAAAATACCTAAGATTAAATTTAATGAGACATATTCACCATTAATGGATGGATACAAATAACTTTTTTATATTTAGTTAGTCTTGTAGCAAATAAAAGAGTTATTTTACACATGATAGATGTTATAATAATTTATTTATATATCTTATTTGATAGTGAAATTTACATGAAACTGTATAAAAGCTTTTTTTTACCTAAAACACATTATTTTGGATCTCAAAAAAACTACTCTACAAGATTGAAAAACTACTCTACAAGATTGAAAAAGTATCTGTATAAATTAAAACACCGCCTTATTCAATGTTTGCTAAGGAATAGATATAAAAATGAATACATTTATCCTTGTATTTTTATGAAAAGATTTAAAAAAAAAAATCTAAATTTCTATCTCTGTTATTGACATAAGTAATATTGAAACTCTTCAAGAGTTTTCAAATGTTATAAATCATTTTAAAAAATTGTTCCTGACGAAGGATTTGTGAAACACAACATCCTTACTAAATGAACATTTGAACAATAGAAATTTTGTGAAGATTTTTTTTCTCCATTATATGATTTCTAACGCACCACGCGAGATTTTAAAAATATCACCTAAAAACCAGAAATATATTTTCGATACGCATTCGCGTACTCATAATTTATTCGTTTTTTAAAATTCGGCCTATAACAAAATTTATTCTAAAAATACACTTTCAAAAATTCTCGGAAATATATTCTTAGTTCTAATAAAAAAATATGTTGCCTTTCTTCACACTGTTTTGTCTTTCACTCTTGGAAATTTTTAATTTATTGAAAAAATTGGTATAAATTAAAGGTTATGCAGGGCGATTTCTAGATTTTTAGATACTCTCTTCTCGTTTTCAATGTCACGTTTTCCTAATTGTTAACTTTTATCATATACTGTGAAACTGTACATTTTATTTGAGTTAAAAAAAGGAGGGTTCGTGTTATATTTTTGTAAATAGAGAAACACTTGTAGTGTTCTAAAGAAATATTATTGGTCAATGAAATTTATTCTCTTGACAAGTTTCTATTTTATATATATATATATATATATATATATATATATATATATATATATATATATATATATATATGAAAGTATTATTGTGCAGTTCATCATGAAAGGAAACATTAGAAATTGAAAATATATTTCTCGAAATTTTTGAAAATACATTTCAGACTTCTACGTAACTTTAACTTTAAAAAAGTGTACATCAAATATATATTTTTGATTTTCAGAAACATTTTTAAAAATGCATAGAATATTTCTTTACACTATAAATCAAAAGAAAAGTCCTCAATTTTGTACACCAAAAAACTTATATACAGACAAATCTTATATGTTATCTACTCTTAAGATATTAGAGATATTAGATTATTAAATTTGAATAAGATTATTTTGGACCTTAAGAAAAGGGTGAAAAACTACTTGGTTACCGGATCTGAATGTAATTCGAACATTGATGTATATTGCTAGCTATGTACATTATGATATATCAATTCTCAATCTATTACTAACATATAATTTTTTATCTATACAAAGACATTGTAACAAAATCAGACAATAACTTTGTTACCATATAATTGCAGATTATTTATCAAATTCTTATAATGGTAAATCTCAAACATGTTACCTGTAGAGATACAATCATTTTATGGAAATCTATAAAACAATCTATAACAGCAAATTCATCAAATCACATATAAGTGCATATTTTTATACAACTAGTCGTCTCACATATAAATATATGTATAACAATCTATAACAACAAATTCATCAAATCACACAAGTGCATTTCATGAATTCACTTTCAAAAAAACTATATGTATAACAATCCATAACAACAAATTCATCAAATCACACAAGTGCATTTCATGAATTCACTTTCAAAAAAACTTTTAAATAACTAATACAAAGAATATTATCTTACATATAAATATATCATACAGTTCCTTCTCAAAGAATATTACTCTTTTTTCTTCTCACACAATATTTTTTTAAATAAGATTTTAACAAAGATATCTTCAATGAAGATCAAAGGGAAAGTGATTTGAATAATATATTATGAATGTTAAATACTTTATCTCTTATTCTAATTATTTTGTTAGCTCATTTGTATGAAAATCAAAGGGGAAGTGTTTTGAATAAATATATTATGAATGTTCAATACTTAATCTCTTAATATTCTGATTATTTTGTTAGCTCAGTTGTATCCTATAAATAAGTATCATGCTATAATGTATTAATACACTTGTGAATATTTAAGTACAAATATTCTAATTTCTCTCTCTCTAACCTTTGACTCTTTGTCTTTAGTTTGTAGCAAAATTTGATATTTAATCAATTGTTGTGGATACTACTCTGGAGAGTTTAAAAGAAAAGCACATTTGAGAAGAGAAAAAAAAGGATGAAATTAAAAAGATCAAGAGTTTTAATAAGGGGGAGCTATAATGAATTTATTTTTCTTTGTAACACAATTGTATTAGAAAACTTTTGAAAAATTATTCAAATTCAATCTTATTATTATAATTCCGTAATTATAAAAAATATATTAATTAAGAACGACTATTTATTATTTACATCCATACAAAAATATTCTTATAAAAGAAGCCAAAAAGGGGTATAAAAGGTGTTGTATAAGAATAGAATCAGCTGGAGTATTGTTTTAAAGTAATATCGTATCATATTATTACCCGAATCTAGTTCGCAAACGATTAAGTTAAACAATTCCATACAACAAAGCGACAGTGGACACGATAAATACATGTCCAAATGAATAATATAATCCTGAAATAAAGCATTACATCATATTGTGTTCCCACTCAAACTCATGTCTCATCATCTCCCATACTGACTGAATAATGCCCGAAGTTCCTGCCCTGTTTGATTCAACAGAAATGGAATGCAGTCAAACTAAATCCAAAGGGATAAATACAAGTAATTTTGTGCTATCTAAATTTATCAGATGTTTGCATAAGTGACAGCAAAGTTTTCATAAATGGCATATTTTATTCAACATATATTTCAACGAAGGTTTTCACAAATGTTTAGACTTTGAATTGCATCACGTATAAATCAGAAAAGATGAAATCATGCAACTGATATAGCAAGAATGCTAACCTCCGATAATACCCGCTGCTTGTTAAGTAATTGGGTCCTAGCCTTGTTCAAAACAGAATTTGGTGACTTGAACATCCTCTGCATGTAAAAAATTTAGGGAGATCAGCAGATAATAAGTGAAATAAGTAAATCTGGAGAAAGTCATGAACTAAATCACGAGATTATGTAGCACAACTACCAGGACAAAACTCACCTTTTCACCACCAGACATTCTGTGCTCACCGTTGTTAAGCTTTTTCTTGGGTGTGAAACCAAAGACATCATGTAAGAATTCATTGTCCTAATATCATTGAGGAAGAGAGGCAGGAAAAAAAGGCAAAAACAAACTTAGTGTTGTAAACTTTTAACAACAAGATGCTGAAAATAGAAAAATGCAACAAAAAGCCAACCTGCATATGTTTAATGAATCCTCCTCCAAGAAAGTGCTTGATGAAATTTAGCTGCAAACATATTAGATGTCAAAAAATGCAATTTTACAGTGTAATAACACCAAATGAAAGAATGCAAGAGAAACCTGTATCATTTGGGACCAGGAGGATGTCTGTAGAGAATCACCACCAATCTTCATTGAAATTTCAGGGGCGTAACCATCCTAGAATGACAATAAGAGATCAGTACAGAAGCCTTGGAACTCAGACTCAGGAGTACATATCTTTTATTCTCTAATAATAATAAGGGGAAGAGAGAGTAAGATTAAGTACCTCAAAAAAATCCAAGATATCTTTGAACAGGTTCCTCTGATTATTAAGATCTTTCTTAGCAGAACCTTTACCACCAGCCTCCACAGAAAGATTTTTGCATTGATTTATCACTTTTCCTTTTAATCCTTGTAAAAATATGTAACTTTCCTGTGGCTTACTCTCTTCTTGAGTTGCATCACTTGCATTAAATTTATCTATAGCTCCAATCTCAAAAATTAGAGCCAGTGCTTCACCAGCAGCAATTCTTACTGACCTGTCTTCTTTGTCTAGAAGACTAGATAAATAAGATATTGAACTGCATTGAAAGTAAAATCATTCTGAAATCAAGGCCAAAGACACATAAAATGTACTCCCTCTGTGATCATATATAAGTAAAATTACGTATTTGTACACTTATTAAGGATGGTAGTTAAATAAATTATATTGTCTTGATTCCATGTGAAAAAGGAAATGCATTTACTAATCTGCCCCTAAGTATACTCATCTACTCGGTCCTTCTTGCAACATCAGTGAACTCATGATTTTTTGGAATAATACTATTAAATGTCAATAGATTAGTTGGCATTTGATTATATTCGAGAATCAGACACTTGTTTTTTCCTCATAATTGAGTCCTGGGGAGTAAATCTAAAATAGTTAACCATTGTTCTAGGAATTAGAATAGCCTGCCAAAACTCTAATTTAAACAATCATCATAACTGCATTAAATAATAAACATAAGTTGAAAAATAGCAGTAGAAACAAACAGCTGATTCATTTGATACAACAAACAAAACCTCTCTATATTCCTATTGGATGAAACTCCAAAGAGTTTCAAATTGATCAACTCTTCAAAAATGAAAGCATAGACAGCAATAAAAAGTAGTGGTCCTACACCATCTATAGGATTGACAAGCAAAATAACTGGACAATAGAAAACCTCTTACAGGAAGCATGAATGGACATTGGCACTAAGCTAGAGTATAATGAAATCAAAATGCAAGCAAAAGAATAAACTGAGCTTAGCTTACCTTTGCCAATTTTTTGAATTCAGCTTCAAATTGCCTACGGTAGAGAGGAGAAAAGACCATGCAGACACCACAGCAGTTATTAATGGAGCAGAGGGTTTGACTGCAACTACCTAAAGAGTGAATAATCTGAAGCAGTAAATAAAGTGAAAGAGAAATGCAGGTACACATTTAAAAATAGAAACTTTTTTATAATGAAAAAAACACATTAGTCGTATGTAAAATACTGTTCTGATCAGAAAACGAAGCAGCTAGACTATTTTAACAGATGCATACATTGGAACCTAATTTGGGATGGATAACACGCCACATTATATCCATTGATCGCTCTGTTTCTTCTTGAGCATTCCCTCCAACAAAGGTGATTATAGCCAAACAGTCCAGCAACTATACACATAAAGAGCATTAATAAGTTACTATATAACATCAAAGATCATAAAAGGAAAACAATAAAAAACAAAGAATACAGCAGATATTTCTAAACTACTCACCGATGGTGCCTTCATAACATCTGTACTTCTAGCAAGTGATTCATCCAAAGGACCAGAACAATCTTCGAAAATCTCACGTGCATTATCACTACACCCAACTGTCAAGGCCAAACAACCTGCAACGGAATGAAATTTAATAACTAACTAACAACGGCAATATAAAGTGTAAAACAAAGTATAAGTCAAAATCTTACCAATGGCATGAGATGCCAAAGTTATCTCCTTGGCAGACGCCTTCTTAGACCCCTTTTTTATTGAAGCAAGACACTGATGCAATAAAGTAGCAAACCTGGTAAAAAAAACACACCGCAGTTATGATAAAAAAATTTCATCACTTAAATGATACATACAGTCAGTTGAAAATATGAAATTGACAGCCAAAACAAAAACCCAAAAAAAAAACAAGTATCATAATTGCATTAATACCTATATATATCATCATAGAATTGAAAATACTCATTTACAGTATATATCATAATAAAGCTTACTTTTTTTCGACAAAGTGATGTTGCATGTTGCTCTTAAAAGCATCAATTATGGTTGAAAAAGCGTTTTCCCTCGTGGAACCCCTATAATAAATTCAACAAAATAAATCTTAACTTCAATTCCACGTTCAATATCCATAACCAACTTAACGAAGCAAAATTAAGTACCTTTTTTCATCCAAAGAATCAAGAGCTTGGTCAAGTACAGACTCTTGATCAAATTGAACATCTTCGGTACCAGAAACAGACATAAGATCAGATCGAGCGGTTGATGACGAAGTCACGCTACTATCATCATCGCTATCAAACATCGCAGCAGCTTTACTACGAGAATTACCTTAAAAATCACCACACACAAAAACAATCAATCAAAAGAACTATCAATTAAACTGAGTTAGATGAATAAGAAACCCTAGAAACTCACGTTTCCCCATTGTAACGGCTCTTTTTCGGTTTGATTAGGATTGTTAGAAGAACGAATCGGAATTGGAGAAACTCAAAGGTGAACAATAATTCGGTAAACAAGAACGAAAATAAACGGAATTGGAAGGTTTTGAAATTGGGAATGAAATCGAGAATAACGAAAACACAGTATTTGATTCGGTTGATGAATAATCCATTCAAAAAATCAATTATATATAAGTTGAAATTCGAACGCTACTACTACGAAAAAGCGATTATTGAGAGATTTTGGGGATGAGATTTTGATTAACGGTAGCAACCGAGAAAAAATGAGGGTTAGGTTTTTTTTATATAACGAAGCACCACCACCACACGGCGAGGGTTTTTTTTTTTTTGGTATTTATTTATCGCGTGGACCGAATAAAAGTATAATTTAATTTTGATAGTGAGAATATTCGGTGGGTTTGTGTATGGTTACGTGGCGCGTTTTGGGCTGTTGATTTTTTCTTTTGTGCCGACATAGTGACACGTGGCATTTGTCGACGTGTTTGCGCGGATGCGTGGAACACGTGACGTGACAAAGTTGGTTACTTGTAATATTGCTGTTTTGGAGTTGAAATTTGAAATCATGAGTTTCTAGTTTCTACTACATTTGCAAGGAAAAGCCTCTACTCTAAATTAACTCCAACTAACTTATAATATGACGACATTCATGACATTTTGTTGGCTAGATGCTGATTGAATTAAGAAGTTTATAACTCAAATTAAAATACAAACTTTTGCCAACTAAAAAGAAACACTGAAACCTTGACAAAAAAAACATTGACACAGAATTTCTAACAATTTCTGAAAATACGATTGAAAATATAATTTGAAATTTTAATAATCGAATTCGTAATTATAAATTCTTGAAACTTATTTTGGATAATCATAATAGTCATTGGCCGATTATCCAGAGGAAATTATAATTTTTTTATAATATTTGTAGGCATGGAAATTTATCCTACAAACGAATACAGTTGATCTAAGTCTAAGATACATCTAGCAGCTTCCCATATCATACATCTAAGAAATTTGATTTGTTATAACCACTTCCTTATATAAAGAGAACACGCATCCATTTCAAATTCAAACTTTATTCATTTTTCTCTTTCACATACTACTGTCTTGAGCGTTGGAGTATTAGTCTTGCAGATCAGCCCCTCATCCACCGCATCGGAAGCTCTGGTCCAATGTTATCCATTGCAACCATTAATTCACCAACCAATTTTGGTTCCGCAACGAAATAGTGGTGTGATATATGGGGAATCGAGTTATGACTCCCGCGTTTTCCACAATCCACATTCTATTTTTGATCCATCAGTTTGAAACCTTTTCATTCTATCGAATCACAGTTCTTAAAATCGAACACTTGATCCACTGCATTCAACCTAATTAAATACTGTATCAACCTTGATTTCCTGAAATTCCAAATTCTGAACTTCTTAACCTTTCATCAATATTTAGATTTAAAGGTATTCGTTTCGCCACATTACATGAAGTCGTTGTCGCTCAAGCAATAATCAATCAACCATCTTCCCGTCAAGGTATTACAGATCAAGCAGTAGATATTCTGTTGCATCCAAATCTACTCCAACCTCCTCAAGTTGTCGGATCTACTCTGGTGCCTTTGATCAAACCTTGGATACCACGACCAAATTCACAATCAGAAGCATTTTCTAGTTTCCAACTACTGTGAGCCAATCTCAGAATACAAAGCGCTAATGAATTTCTAAACAACATGTATGATATCATTTGACAATATAATTCACAAGCGATAGAGAAGAGGTTGCTTCATCTTGAAGAAAACAAGTATAAGGCGCCTACACGGGGAAACATTGTGCAAGAGGCAATGTCAAAGAGAAGGTAAGTCATCGTCCCCGGGTCGATCGCGTCGAGGAGATACAAATCTCTGAAGTCGTAGAATCACCAAAAAAGCAAGAAGCACCAGACTCCTCCTTAGAGCCTCGAGGGAGACCATAGCATACATGCTCCTCCACGGGATCAGGTAGAGAAACAATCAACAAAGAATTTGCATAAGCATCGTTTATGCGCCCATATATTGGATAGTAGAATACCAAAATAATTGAAGAAACCTCCTAAGTGAAGGTGTGAAGAAAACGCAAGAAATGGGGGTTTGAATTGGGCTTTTCTTTCTTGTAAAACTTTCGTTTCTAAGCAGTATTCGTTGAACAATGCTTATGATTGTTACTTCTAAGTAATGCTTCTAATTAAGTTAAGAAAACATAAACTCTAAAGCATAAGCAAAATTAAAGAACACGCGATATATCCTGGTTCACTTGAGAAACCCCCAAGCTAATCTGGTTCACCCTTCCGAGGTTATTTCGCCTTGATCTCAAGGACTTAATCCACTATAATCAATTTGATTACAATTTCACGGGAAACCGTCGGTGACTAACATCTAATGATGCGTTCAAGGATCCAAACTGGATATAACGTTCATTAACCCAATAGAATGTGATTCACTAGAATCTCCTACCAGGATTTCCTTCCAATGACATCCATAAGTGATCTCAGATGGCTAACCTTCACTCGGTCCCTTTTGAGATATGACCACCATTAACCCAATAGAATTTGCTACCATAATTTCATCTACGATGGCCGCAGCCAAAGTCTTCTTGAGAATTCTGACTCAACTGAGTCTCTCAAGGAACCATCAAACAACTATTTGATTTACATTTGTTTGCAATAATAACGCTTCTACACAAGCTGAATGTAAACGGAATTAAGTACATCAGAAGAACCTAATACACACTAAAAATATTACATTTTATTGTAGCTTTAATGTGTGGTCTTATTTTCTTCAAGTAGCTTCTTCACGGACAACAACCCAAAGCACTCTAATTGCTGAAGTCTTCTTCTTCATAAACTTTTGAAAGCTTTGTTGATCTTGATGTAGTAAAGAGAAGAACTTCTTCATATAGATTCACTTTAGAATATTCTAGACAGAATCCCTTGTTCTACTTTCTTCAATGATCACTTTAGAGCACAACATTTATATTGTGGATTTGTAACTGGAGCTTTCATGGTCATCCTCGTTATCTTCTACGGCTTAGCAAGCTTTGTGCAGCATATGAAATTAAGCACATTGTGAATCTATGATTTCATTGTAATCAGTATCAACATGATTGAAGAATCATTTTGATAACAGTTGTTTTGGTTGTTTTTATAGTGGATGATAGCTTTTTGGTTGTGTTCTAATAATGACAACTTTCCTTTTTAACATTGAACATCAACAAATTGTGACTTGCAACTTGCATCTTTTAGCAAATAGCCAATCAACATGCAACAAGCTCATAAACATCTTTAAACATACAATTCTTTTCTTATATAGCCAAACAAAATAGATTCGTTGGCTATTTAAAAAAGAGTCATTACAAATAGTATTGCTACGTCCTTATCTCTTTCACACTTCAAGTTAGTGGAGAGGTGGTGGAATAAAGCTTTTTCATACTATGTACTATTATACCATATTACTGTTATATTCTTTCCTTCTGTACTTCAGAGGCTTCTGCGAGCATGAGGTTAAAAGAGAGAACATAACATAAGGTCTTCAGAACTTCAATTCTTCAGAGTCTTCAGAACTACGTCTTCAAAGTCTTCGGAACTTGGTCATGAGAATTTGTTGTAATGAACATTTGGATCAGAAGAGCTTCAAGTCTTCAGAGTCTTAAAAACTGCGTCTTAGAGTCTTCAGCACTTGGTCTTGAGAACCTGTTGTAGATAACCTCGGACCTTTAGAACTTCAAGTCTTTGGAATCTTCATACCTTTTGTCTTTAGAATCTTTAGCACTTGGTTCTTTAATAATCATTGTCTTCAGAACCTTGTTATTAGAAACACAAAGTCTTCAGCATTTGGACTTTAGTTAGAAACATTGTCTTCAGATCTTTTAACTTTGTCTTCTTTGAAACAGGTTGTCTTTTAGAAACTATGTTTTTAGCATCTGAACTTCAGTAGAAACTTTGTCTTCAGATATTATAACTTTGTTTCTTTGGAACACATTGTCTTTTTAGAAACGTGAGTCTTCAGTGTCTGGACTTAAGTGACAACTTATGTCTTCAGATCTTCTGACTGTTTCCTTAGAACACGTTGTCTTTAGAAGCTTGAGTCTTCAACATCTGGATGTAAGTAATAACTTTTATCTTCAGATCTTCTGACTGGTTTCTTTAGACAAATACCAGGGCTTACACTTTAAAACCTTCTGGAGTGTCTTACTGCTGTTCAACAGAACTTGTGTAGCGCATAAGGGAAACTAATTCTCTTATAATGTCTTGGCCATGCCATTCATGAGAAGCATAATTTGTTTGTTAAGTACTCAACAATAACAAACATTAGTACAACAAAATTAATCATACAATCATACTCATTTGTTATCATCAAAACTCAGAGATAATATTACATAACCAAATCTTGTTATTACACTAAGTTGGGTGAATACAATGAGAAGGGAGACTCCTATGAGCACGTGTAACTCGTTAACAATCGGTTGAACTAATTTCACACTGACGAAGCTTCCAAGTGTAAATTTTTTGTGTTAACCTTGATTGGATTGTCCAGACTATAGTTCAAGGCTCTGCCGAATGGAAGCATTCCTAGACTGACATGTACGAGGGATTCACTGCTGACTTATGATAAGTGCAAATTGTAGCTATTTTTGTATATAAGTTTTGTTGCACTTATAGATACTTTTGTTAATATTCTTTGAATAATTCTCCATTTTTTTTGTAAATACGTTTACTTTGCGAATAATTGTCTTTTTATGTAAATAGTGTATCATTTGATTGTTTTGGTCTATTTTGTAGGTAATTGTCGCATATTTGGAGCATTGAGGAATAAGGTGTCAAAGGCATAACTCCGGATGTGCGTTTTTGGAATAAAAGACCATTTTTGAGAAAGTTCTATCTAGGCAGGCGCGCTAGGCGGAAGTTGTAGCGCGTTGCGAGTGATTTTGTGAAGTTTGGCAAAAGCATA